GAACATAGATTAGCAGTCATTCCCACCATCACCATCCAGGATTAGCCTCGTAACATCACTCTTCTTTTGCAAATTTCCCTAATTTTTACCCAGTTACCGTCAAAGTTTGCTTACGAACACCACACATGTGTGTTCTACTTCTAAAACTGTTAGTTAACCGAGTTTTGTGAGCAAGTTGGTTTAACACTACAAATTAGCTGCATGACTGGATAGTGTGGTAACTGTTTGTTAACAACCTACAAAACATGGAGCTGAGCGTTTAATTAGGCGCTAATTGTTCATTTGCACATGCAGTTAATTATCTCCACAGCCTCACCGGTAATTTTAATTGCATTTAAATTATAAATTCTGATTGCCTAACTCCTCGTGTTTTTAACCTCTCTGGACTTGCCTAACGGGATTCTGTGTGTTTATTTTGATGTTTGCCGCTACTTTTTGTTACCGCTTAGACCGGTTTAGACAGAGTTAAAGTTCTGGACAGGGATCTGGTCTATACTTTCAGTCTTCTTTAATTCCGACCTAACAACTTGAATACCATTCAACTTTAAAGACCATGTTAACAGCTTGTTTTAAAATTACAAGTCGTCATTTCCCGTTCTGGTTCAGTACTCCAGCAGTACAAAGTCACTGTTCAGACTACTTTTAACAAGGTTGGAAACCTCTTCTAACGTCATTAACCGACATAGCAAGCTTTCAGTAGCTCTGTTAGTCAGGTTGAATCACACAGACTTGGAGACTGTGAAGTATAGTAACTCGGTAATCTGTTCCACCAGTATATGGCTTATGTAAGGTTAATTTCAACTTATCCCACTAAGACAAGAGTCAGGAGTCTTAGTTCCTCACAGTTTATTGTTTCTTAGTATGAACAGTATCGGTAGTACTTCTTCTGGCCACGCCCAAAATTAGAAGTTCTATCATCAGTTTTAAGAAGCATTAAGCAAGAATCGGAAATTAATGGAGGAAAACATCAGCAACTGAAACCTTTTTCATGCACGATAACATGTATCTAAAGAAAGTAATTTGGAATCGAGACTCGAAGTTTCTGTCCTTAAAAGTCATATACAATTCGTAACTAAATTCGTAAGCTGCTATCGAGATATTTTAAATCTGAGGGAAACGGAGAACGAGGTCTATTGAGAAAATCGTTCCAATTTAAATGAAAATGGAGCGAGGCGATTGAATGGTCGAGCGACTGATAAAATCTTTTGGCAATTCATCGATCGCTTATATAACCGGATGATAATATCCGTACGAACATCTTCACCGAAACGGTTTCTCAGAAATTCAAAATCCTGCAATGGATACATAACAAACTAAGTAAAAATACTCGAAACTATTTATCAGACACGGCCAGAATAGTAAGTGCTCACAAATCTCCAATATATGCCACTAAGTGTCTATCATAATAAGTATTCAGCGACCTTCTTGGGTCATAGCTACTTAGAGAATCTAAACTTTCTTCTTTTTTCAATCTGCCATTTCTATTTTTATAATATCTTCCCACTGATTCGTAGAATTTTACCATGCTAAATGATTTTCCTATTTGGATGAAGTTTGCATTATTCAGCTAAATAGTCCTGTCTAAATGAACTTAAATTCCGTGGAACTTTTCGGTTTCTGTCATTTAGCCGCCTCTCAGTCGATCGAAATGGCGAAATGCCTGAAAAACGATGACTTTGAGAAGAGTTGTTGACCTAAAACCTGTATTTGTGGACCATGTTTGTGGCTGTCTCCGTGTCATCGCCCATTATGACAGTGTTAGTTCCAGGTACCATTATCTGGACACAATGAAACTGGAAACAAGAGGAGAATTTGGAGTTTCAGTAATCACGAACATAATGTGAGGGGATTTTAATATATCAGCTAATATCCATAATCACGAACAATATCTGATATTCAGTCCATAACCACTATATTTCATATCAACTTAGCGAAGAGAATATTTTAAATTCTGAGAACAAGTAATTTGTTGAACTAACTGAAAATTGAGCAGTTGAGCAGGGTGATCTCAGCTACTCGGCTCTGTTTTACTTTTTCAGTTTTGTCTGGTTTCAGTGTTCGCAAGATCGGTTCTCTTTGTAGTTTTGTTCCGTGGAGTCCAACCCTGGCTGTCTCCAGGCTCCACCAGACAGTTTGAGTTAGAACTTGGTTACTTTTAATGATTGGCAAAAAAACGGGATTACTTTTTCAAAGTTGTGAAACTTTTACCCAGCTGTGAAACTTTTAAACAGTTGTGAAACTTTTGCGCAGTGACCTACCTAGAATCCTAGATGACTTATGTTGAGTTTCGTTAAGACTTAACAGGGTCATCACATCTCCAGTAACAATTTACATAGTTGTGAAACTTTTGCACATTTGTGGAATTATACCCAGTTTTCTTCTGTCCAGCTGCTCGCACAACGACTACCCCAATCAGTACACAATAATTACTGAGTGGTGTAAGTGTATTTACTATTTCGGGACCTCTGTTCCCAAAGTTTCCAGAGGATTAGTAATTCTAGACAGAGCCATTATAAATTTTGGTTTCTCCTCCTGGTAATTATGTTTCTATTATACTATTATCACATTAGTAGTCATTACCCCAGAATATCACACAGCCTTTATTTAAATAAAACAATTTCAAGATCTTGGCTATACTATGCGTACGCGTGCACAACCCCAATTTTTATCTGACGTTGCGACCCTAATTCCTGTTGGGCGGAGCGAATAGCAGGCCAGACATTGTCTGGCAAGCACTCTCTGAATCATAGACATAAGATATTACGTGCTTTTATAATTGCAAGGAAGATCCCAGATATTAAACAGTTACTTCGGCCTCAGTTGGCAACTAAACGCGTCTCCGAATTAGAGTTTAACATTAGAGAAGTATCCACCTTGTTAATGTTATATGTCTCATATATAGCATTAGTTCAACACAATTAGACAAATCTGATGTTGTTCATCATTACTCTGACTTCCCCCAATTACTGCCGAAATCGTTTTAGAAGCCCCGCAGGGCCCCTCATCGCCCCCCGACATTCGGCGATCTCTACTCCGCAAACATTTCAGTTTTGACACTTGCAGTCGCTTTTCGGGCCTTTGACGTCTGTACCTTCAGCTGACAATATGAAGTTAAAGTATTTCTGAGGATATCAGAGAGTCGTGTTAATGTCTCTGTCTCTGAAGGATGGCCCATCAAGCGTGCTTCGGCACAAGATATTATCATTATGGTCATTTGTCGTGGAACTGGTTCTGGTAGTGCCGTATAGTGGTACGAGAATTAACTGGCGCATGTGAGGTGACGACAGGATTTTAATAGGCTTTAATTCTGTGACACGCCGATTACCGCATAACTTCCAGAACACTTTATGTTCAAACTTCAAGCTAAGTGCGGCTGTGGGCCGGGGGCGTTATCATTTGTACTATTTATGGTTCTTTGCACGAATAATGTGAGACCGGCCTATTTGTAAATTGTAGTAAGCTATTCTTGAGTCTTGTGGTAGTAGGTTCTTCATGTTTAAGACGCGTGCTTCGTATCACATCTATAATATATGTAATATTATAGATTCTATAATATAGAACTGTCTGTTCTTGATCATGTAGGAACTATACTAAGACGCGTGCTAACTGACTGAGGAATAAAACAGACTTCTGAGCGTGTGTTAAAACAATGGTAATGTCGAGACAGGGCTTGTTATAAAAATGTTAATTATGCAGGATATGTCTGCATGTTTTTAACTGCATGTGTTGTTATAACCTCTTATTTCTTGCTATTGTTATCCGACACACAAAGGGTGTTAAAATCGTGCTTATAAAGAGAGTCAGGGACTGCTCGCGATATTATAATGAACATTTTAATAGTGTTTTCAGATTCGTGGCTGTGGTAATTTGTCTGCCACAATTTTATGTCTTTTTTATCTGACATTTTTTGTTTTTCTAACAGGACGGCGAAAATAATGCTGAAATAATGGGTCTTTGATAAGGGGTCTAGAGGATTGTGATTTATTCTAAAAATGCATTATATTTCACCGTCTGTTCTAATCTCGCATATAACTGTAGCGACAGCAGTCAGCACTAGGGAAGATATTTAATGTTGATACTCAGGAATCTCTTGTACCACTTCCTGAAAACGTTGTTGAACGTGAACAATAATTTTACCTAATTCTGACTTCAGAGTGAGGGTGTACTTGATCATTTAAGGTGTATTTGATCATTAAATGATCCCGTATAAGGAAGTCTGAGGAAGTCTACAAGTCACCTCAGTGTTCCTGATTACGGATTTGGATATTATGTTTCAAGAATTAAACTACTCAGTGCTCACTTTTACCCCGTCACGCGAGTCGCGACGTATATTTATTACAATTTCAAAGCTAGTTGTCTTAATCTTTTAAATCTTAATTCTGGTAAATTTAATAATTCTTCTTGAACTTTCATTGTACGTATCCTTGCTGTAAATGTAATGTAAAATATTTATGCTTCTTGCTACCAAAATGCCTAATATTTCCAATATTCATTTTCAAATCCCTCCGTTCTCAGCCTTAATACATGTATTATACTGGACTTACTGGTGCCCAATTCAGTACAAATTTATCCAACTTTGATTACTATGAAAAATAGCAATCCAGAGTTTGTGTTAAATAGAAAGCTTCTAGAATTGACATTATTCCTTTGAATAACGAACAGAATTATCGCTACCGCGGTATTTTCAATCGCCTAAGTAATTAATGATCCAAGTTGACAGTTGATTGTTTCTCTTAAAATTGACTAATTGACCTCGTTAAACTTAGTCCGTCATTGTTTGTGCTTGTCTTTTTGTTGACTAATCTACCCAATAAAGTGCAGTTGTTCTGAAAATGAAAGTTTCTCTCGTGTATTTGTATTACTGTTTGCTATTAACAATTAATTGTTTGATTAAACAATCTTAAACAATCCTAATTACTGTAGGGCGTTAGTTTTAAAACACAATTTCAACCGGACAAGCTCTTCCGTAACATGCTGTCTAAACTTGTGTATCTATTTTAGCGCTGACAATGGAGAAAAGCACCCTGGAGATCTCAGGCCAGGCTGTCCTCAACAGTTCCTCCGTAAACATGGGACAGTACCTTGACCAGGTGACAGAACGTCCTCCCCCAGTAACCATGATGTGGAACCAGCATGCTATCCCTTCCGTCGATATCCTCCTCGCTTTGGTCTGCATTGTTCTCACTCTTGTCTCTACTTGTGGCAATGCTGTCTCTATCAGGGCTATCATCAACCTTAAATCTAGGTTTGTTAATTTCTGGATGTCCGTCTAATATAAAGATATATAATGCATATTATTGTGGAGTTTAAGATGTTAGCTGCAAGTATAATAATTTACGATGAGGTGATAATTTGATTAATCATGTTTACTTTTACTTTACCGGAATGCAACTTGAATAAGAGCTCCCTCTCCACCCCCTGACCCTCACCTCCCACAGCAGGTTTAATTCAGACAGGAACAACCTGGGCTCCTTAACTCTGGTTATATTCCTGAATCTAGCTGTCTGTGACTTCCTGCAGACCCTGTTGTCAGCTCCTTTTACTGCTCTCATGCTGTTCAGTGGCAGGGTGGTGAGTTCTATTTAACCATTTCTTATTTCAGACTCGAGCACCTTTTGTTTTCAGGTGTTGAATCGAATGCCAAGTCTTAGATTAGTTGGTCTTCAAATTTGATTAATTTGTAAGTAGAAATGTCCCAAAGACTTGTTTTTGAAAAGGATTGGATTTTATAATCTGACTCTAGCTCACAACTCCTAGAAGTTTAAAATCTCTAACCCCTCTTTTTCCACAGCAACCAGGAATATCCCCTACAACAGAGCTGATCCTGTGTAACGTGGCTGGAGTGAGCTACTTCATCATGTCACGTGCTAGTATCAGTATAGTTGCTATCTTATCTCTGGTGAGGTGCTACGTTATCCTGCGCCCCATGAACCATCACAGTGTTGTTAACTGGAGAAATGTTTACGGTTAGTTGATTCTTTATCTTTTATTTCTTTTGATGTATAAATTGGCATTTTGCTCCTTTTATTCGAATGTCAAATGTCGTACAATATGGCTATGATGATTGTAGCACGTCCCTTAAATTAAATCCTGAGCATTAAATCCTTCAAGAACCATTGATTAATATCATCCCACTTCTTAGTCTATGTAAATTAACAGTACTGACACTAGCTCCCCACAGTATCACTAACTGTGGTGTGGTTAACAGCCATCTTCCTATCCCTGATCCCCTTCATGGCGGGTGGTACTTACAAGTATTGGAGGATATACCCCATGTGTGAGTGGGACAAACTTGAGGTATATACATCATGTACATTGTACATTGTACATTGTTCATCATCACCTTCCCTTTATAGATCATCACCTTCCCTTTATAGATTTTATAACATATCACCTGCCCCATATTATTATCAAACTAGAGGTATGGCAATAAATTTAAATACGGTTGTATAGTTGCTCCAGCCTTAAAATTAGATCTCCTTCAGCTACAAAAACACCCCATTTTCATTTAGGCCAAACAATTGTAGCAAAACTAAACCACCCCAAACTATCTTAATAATAACAATTAGCTAATCAGGTCAATAATTACCCTCTCCCTCAGAGGATGTTTCCCTGGACGAACACAATAACCCTGAGTCTGGCAGTGCTCCTTGTCTACGTTACTCCCTTTCTACTTCCAGGCTTTGTAGTCATATTCTCCTCCCTTACTACAGTCGGGGCTCTCCTCTACGCTAGACAGAAGAAAAAGGTAACATTTTGAGAACTTAAATAGTGCAATGTGCCATCTTACGGCTCACATATTCTCACTATCAATGTGAAGGAGTGACATGAGATTACTTTCCCCACTTCAAACTATCACTAAAGTGATACATAAGCTGGGATCACCCGATTCTTACCCCATAAACCGCCCCCTTTAACCCCAAACTCTCTGTCCAGATAGTGACCCGTAAAAAGGACTACGACTCAGTAATCACAGATAAGGGGCAGGGCTCCATCTCAAGGAAGCAGCTGAGTGCTTCTATCACCACGCTGGTAGTGGTCCTTACCTTTGCTGTCTGCTATGGACTGTGGTGGTTCAACTCTATCGTGTACCTTATGTGGAAGGTAAGGGAGGGGAACTATAAAGTTGTGTGGCACTAGAGCACGTGTACTATAAAGTTGTGTGGAACTAGAGCACGTGTACTATAAAGTTGTGTAGAACTAGAGGGAAACTATATGGAACATGTTATGAAGCTGTTGTAAACTTCCTGATCTCTAGTAAACTAAACTGATCGACACTGAATAGAAATAATAACAACTAAACTATTGCTTGTTACTTATGTCTGATAATCTCTTAAACTATAATCTTATAATGTTTGCTAAAATAATGTCGTATCACAGGCAGGGTTTTTCCCTGTGGAGAAGGACAGTATGATCTTCACAGTTATGTACGGTCACACCGGTTACGTGTACATTGCCACTATGGGGGGAGTCCTCATGATTTACCTCAACTCTGCTCTTAACCCTATTATTTACTACTGTAGAATATTCTCGAAGAATTCTCAGGATTATAAGACTTCTTCAAGCGGTCCTAAGGTAAATATGGTAAGCAACTTTCAGAGCATATTTATTTTGATTTGAGCTGAATAATTGAATGCTGTTAGTTCAACGCACCCAAAGCCTATCACAAAATCGAATGGAAGCACCTCTATTTTATTATGTAAACTTTTTCATTCCTTCCTCACCTCTAAGTCTAGATAACCATCCCACCAACCATTCCCCGCTAAAGCGATGATTGATCAAATTTTAATGGACCACCCGATTTGCTGATTTGCGCCCTATTTGACGTCTTTGATCCTATGAAGCTTAAACACGATGGTCAATGATTAACGCTCTCTGCAATTTGTTTAACCTAACAAACAGTTTAAAGTATAAATCTGTTAACACTAACAGAGATGGTAATTTATACTGAAAGTGATGATCGCAACTCACCCTTCCCGTCAGGCCTTTTTTGACAACACCTTTTACTACACCGCATTACAACACTTTCATTTACCACATTATAACTGTCACTCACTCAAATCCACATATAAATTCTTGATCAGTTTCACAATTTGAATCATATCTCCGCCCAGCATGTCCGACAAGCAGTTCCTGATATTCGAATACAAAAGATTTAAACTGATCTCATTTTCAGGGACACCAATCATCTAGTTCTATAGAGTTCAGTAACCGTAACAGCATAGTCAATCTGTGTAACACCATACCCAAACGAGAATCTGACACGGAGAAGATACTTGATACTCTGGAGGAACGAGATGAGACTCCAACTACTTCTGATAGCATGGCTTAATTAATTAGGGTCACTTAAGTTAGGGACACTTTTATTAGGAATTATTTAGCTGGTGTAGCATAACTAAAGTCTAGACTCTAGATTGGCTACAAGTTAGGGATATTATTGCTAGGAATTATTTTAGCTGATGTACGAGACTTTCAAATTGCGCTGAAACCCGGAAACGGATTGAGTGGCTATGTTCGTTAGGGTCTGCCCACACTACGCCTCTATTCCCCGAATGTCTGCCCACACTACGCCATGTTTTGACGGGCCACATGGCTAACGGGAAACGGTACTTGCACTTCTGTCATTGATTTAAGCCTTCTGAACAGTAAATGTACTTTTTACTGTGTAGAACTGAAAATAGTTGATGGCTTTGTAGGAATGTAGGAATATAGGGTAGAGACTGAGTTTAGTTTTATTACCTTGATTCTGATTTTTAAATATGCCAACTGTGCATTATATTATTTACTCCTTGCTATTAATTTAGTAATTTTTTGTCATTTAACGTTTAATTGACTGTAATAATACCGTAGGAAAAGTTAACAAAATCATTGAATTGTGCTCAATTGTAGTTAACAGGAGTTGTTTTGTTGTGGTATTTAAATGTATTATGTAATATTTATTTAATTATAATGTTATTTTCAATTAATTCTTTTAAACGTCTTGTCTAATTTTTAAAAGACTTCAAATTCAAGATGCAAGTCGACAAATTAAACTAAAATGTCAATGAAATAAAAAATTTTCGTTTCTTAAAAACAAAATCTACAAATTTACAAGCGTATATATTTCTGATTTTATCTTATGAGCTCTTCTGTATAGTAAGCAGATTATTTCTTTACCACTGACAGCTTTGTAGATTAAATGAAAATGTTTTGAATATGATATCAAACTTGCAAAGGTGTTCAGATAATATATAACATTACAAATCATGAAAAACTTTCTTTATATAGAATTGTTAACAGTTAATAAACATATTTAACATATTTAAACATATTTAACCAACTCACAACTACAAGAACCTAAAACTTTTAAAAACTCCTGTGACATTCTGCACGAATTTCACGTTTCATGTTTGTTATTAGTAAATCTTTTAACATAAAGCATCTAGAGACTTTAACCACATTTATTAAAGTTTCAACAATATATAGTACAAGTATTTATAACTTTAGAAATCACTGCCGTATAAATGACTTATGACATGTTTGTGCATTTCAGACGTTTGTTAGAAAGAGAATAAATCTTAGCACATAATATGTAAAACCAATTAATCTTCGATGCATCATTGCTAGAAAAGTACCATAAATAATATAAATGTTTGATATATTATACAATTCTATCAGAACATCCTATCTTGTAACTCTTAACGTTACTTTTAATATTTCATCCAAATTCAAACGTTGGTTAAGTTTTATTGAAGCAGCTTTGTACGTGACCAAAACACAGTGCAATTATACTGAAGCAGATCATGCAACATATCAGTGCTTTATAATCATAAATACATCACAAGTAATTAGGTCATTATGATAAGGTCAAAACCTCTTAAATTTACAACAATAATTAATAGGGTCACATACAATTTTATTTACCTTCACTTTCATTGACATGAAAGTGGTATTGTAGATTGTAGCTGAACAGCATCATAATAGGATTGCTGAATTTATGTAGGATTTCACAGTTACCAAGGTTACACAGTTACCAAGGATCTCACAGTAACCAAGGTTACACAGTTACCAATCTCGAAACCATTACAATATAATTTCATCGACGTCCAGCCCGCTCAGCAGGGAACGCAGCTGAGTCCATTAAAGAATCCGGCTCATTTAAAAAACTTTGATCACAAAAAAACGCCTTCCTCGTTGAGAAAGTGAACACAAGGAAACATTTTCCTCACTGAATGCTGCAAACTTTGCTCTTCTTGTTAAACTCCTGATCTTGTCTCTGTTGTATACTGGATATAACGTGCTGCAACTCGAACATAACACTGTTCTGGTTGGAGATCTGTTGTTTTTGGTTCTCTAGCTGGTGTTGCAGGATCTTTACCTCGCTCTCCAGCTGGCCTTGTACACGGGTGGCGCTGTTCCGTTCTTCTTCTAGAAGTTTCCGGTATTTCTCCAGCTCGGAATCCGTCTGAAATAGTGGGCAGGGTAAACCTTCATTTGGGACTCAGCACTGGAATATAATTGCAAATTGGAGCAAATATGAAAAATGTAATGAGGAATTATGTCGGGAGATTCACTATGACTAAGTTTTAAATATTACACAATGCAATGCCTGTTGGCCAATGTCTGTAAAGTATACACCAAAGAGTCTATATCTAAATATCTGATTGCTAATATGTAACAAGGGTAAGCCACAGAATCATTGGAAAACAGCGAAACCAAAGTCTATATAAACGATTAACGTGCAACTCTTCCTAAATTTATACCGGACCATGCAAATTAAAATAAACCTGTTGTTTCTCCTTCTCCAAAGACTGCCATCTTGTCACAAACATATCCTCCAGGTGGGTTTTACTCCCCTTAAAGTTCTCAAGTTCGTCCGTCTGTTTGGCGTGTCTCTCCTCCAACTTAGCTAGTTTCTCCTGCAGCAACTCTGCCTTCTCCTGGACGCACTCTAACTCTCGAGAAAATGACGTCATAGTACTCGGACCCCTGTGTTGGACGGGAAATTGTTAGAACTAGGAGTACTCTCTAAAGTCTAACAGTGGCAATTATATGATAGAAGAAAACTAGCTGTTTTTATTGTTTTTGCAGTTTGTTGTTGAAAGTATCACTTCCATTAGGTTAATCTATCACAAATTTCTTGACGCCGTTATCCTGTGTTTGATTTACAATTACAGTTTTAGAAATTAGAAGTTTAGAAAACTGGATTCAGTTTATCTTATTGGAGAAAAAATCTGAAATCATCTTATTATCTATATTATCATCTATCATTTGAATTAAATTATTTGATAAGCTGTAGACGTGCTTCTTGTCCCCCACCTGTAGGGAGAGCGCATCTTGAAGTTAGCAATGTTTGAAGGGTTCTTGGTCGCCCTCAACTCCGACGCTTTATTCGGTCTCACATCTTTCCAGTTGAGAGAAAACTTGTCTTTGTAAGGTTCACCTCTCCTTGCCTGTGAAGTTAACCGGTACCGGGAGGGGCGGGAAGCTGAGAGTTGCAGTTCGTCTTCACTATCTGTAGTCTCTATCTCGGTTACTGCTGCGTTTATCTTCTTACGTAGTCGCCGTTTGGTGGTGCGTTCCTTTTCTGCCGAGGTTAACTTGCTTTGTATTGGAGCTGCCGTCTGGACGGGAGTCATGTGTCATGTTTTATTTTTTATTCAATTTTAATTCGTGTTTGACTAGCCGTGTTGGGCATTCAAAATCATGTTTTCAGTGTAATCATATAATATAATCGGTATTACTTTAAGTTTAACAGATCATGATTGTATTCTTCTGAAAAAGATAAACCATCATTAATAAGAAATTAAGTCCTGTCTATAATAAGATTGCATCTGACTTACTGGGAAGTCTGAGTCAGTAAGTTCTCTTTTCCTTGGTTCAGTGGATGTGCTCTGTTTGGGTCGCTGTGTTGTCTCAAACCCACTGTCTTTACTACCACTTTTAGCACTGTCAACTGTAGAGAGATATACTGATTAACTGAGAAATCGTGTTCAAGGTTAAACAAAATAAGAGAAGGTGAATAAAAAAGTAAATTGTCACCACTAATTTATAAACTGATGAACGGAACGTCCTATGTTTCTCAGAAACTCTCCTTTACTTAGTTGACGCCCTTAGTTAAGTTCTGTGGCCTTTCTAAAAGCCGGATTATTTTTGGGAAAGGAAAGGACTGGACGCGACTCCTCACACCGCTACACACTACCACTGATCCCCACATTTAGCAGCACATACCATTAGATGAAGGAATCCCCCCACTTGTCTCCAAATCACTTTGCCTCCCCTCAACTTTCTCCTGGGGTAATTTTTGAGTCGGTGTCACTAATACACCATCCTCAAGTTCGAGTCGGAGCCACGTTCTCAGTTCCTCGTCCTCTTGGGTGTCTTCTAACTTGGTGGCTGAGGCAACACATGATCTGGTTTCTGGAGACAGGATTGAACTTCTCTGCGGGAGTTTGTTTTTAAGTATGATTCAGTACAAAAGCAATCGGGGTTGCGACGAGATTTTTGTTTCTCGAAAGAATGCGGAGTGCATGATATTAGCATAATTAAGTCCCAAGCATGCAATATAGCGACACGATAAATATTTTTCAATGAATTCAAAGTGTCGCCTGGGATTGATATCGACCATGAATATGATCACAAAAACAAAAACAAATCATGACCCATGCATGCACTGAATTTGCCGGATAAGCCACACATTCGGGCGCGCGCTGTCATACTAACGACTGGCAGTGAAAAAGTTATCACACAATCGTACTTCGCGCCTTACATAAGATTCATATTCCACTCTCTGCGGAAGAGGACTGAAACCATTTTGTCACAGAGTGACTGTCACAAATCACTATCAATGACAACGTGTGACAGATCGGTGCTCATGAGAGTGTGACAATAATACAATGTGACAAACTGAGTTTGGCAGTGTGATAAAGGGGTCTCGATCCTACACCCTCTGTGACCTGTGTGGTTCATCGGATCTACACGACGTGAAATACAGAAATTCTCATTTGAAAGAACAAAAACAGAAAGTGATTACAGATCTAAAGACAGAGTTTGCTCATTATTTCATGTTGGTCTTTACCTCGTGGTTTGCTGATTCAGACCTTTCTGAGCTGGCCATGTTGTCTTCTGAAGAGGCCCTGAGGGAAGCACGAGTTTAATTAATACTGCCTGGTAATTCTGATAAACTGAAATTCGTTAATGTATGGATCGTTTTGAAACTGTGTCTAAGTTCAGAAGCTCTGTCTTATGCAAGGAAAATGTTAGAATGTATTTTGTACCGATATCAAACATTGCAATCTTAGATACTTTGAGGGCATACAAGTCCTCTAAAGTAAGTTCATTCCTTGAGAATAATTACGTACACATGTCTTCCGGTGTGCTTTCGTTTCTTCTTTTGAGGTGCATTAGTACTGACCTGCAAACAAGGAATGTTACTTATAACATGTTATGCAGGTTTACATTGCAAACTTTACAATTAATAGGTTTCGATCGATTCGAGTTAAGGGCTTTCAAAATTCGTAAATTGAAACTTGAATAAAGTCTAATTATAAGCAGAACATATTTTACTTGTATCATTAACGAGTGGTTGCAGCTGATCAACCGTTTGATGCGGTTGAGTCCAGGATTCCCGCTGGCACTGGCCCGCCGTGCTGCGTCTGTCAGAGATATCTCCAGAGGATTAATCCTCATATCATTAGTTTCCAGTGTTGCGTTCCTATCTGATGCTGTCTTTCTTAATCTGCTGTTTTTACCACTTTTTGGGGTGAAGGAGGCGTGTATGTCGGGATCTGACATGGATTTGGGGAGTGCCGCTTTGTGGGCGGAGTGTGCTGGGATAAGTGCTGATTGGGCTTTCTTCTTTGATTTGCCGCTGGCTAATGCTGGAGTTTGCATTTCTGAGGGGTGGAAATTTGTATCAGCGAAAATTACGAAACATTGAATCACAGGTAAATTAACAGGTTTATAAAATATCTTATCCCTTTATATAATCAAATAGGAAGAATACTCAATGAAATACGAAACCAGGAACCATGACTCCCATTATCTTACCGAAATCAGATTCCTCGGAGTCAGTAACAGCCACGCCCCTTAACGACAACTCATTGAGGTTGGTGGGAGGGGGCGTACCCCACAGGAATATAGAGTCCGTATCAGTCACCGCTACTGTGTACCCTGCACAACATGCAACAAACTGAAAGAATGTGAACTAATCTAGCGTAACTATTAAGTTACTACTTTAGTAGTAAATATTGTGAGATTTAAATATGATAATGATAAATTTCAATCTAATTTACTGCCCTCATTTTAGAGTTGAGCAGCCGTGGGAACTAATTGCTATGGAACAGAAAATATGTCAAGTATTAACAACTACATCGTCCGTAATGCCCACAAATTACTGTAAAGTGCAAGCACGCGAGAATTTACTCAGTTGGCAAGAATATAAGGTGAAGCAGCTGAAGAGTTAATGTGGAGGTCCAGGTAATAATAAAATAAGTGATCTCCTAGATACCGTCTGGATAGGATTGTCAAGAAATCACCTACCTTAGCCCTGTGAAGTGTGAAGGACCAACTATCTCACCTACCTTAGCCCTGTGAAGGACCAACTATCTCGCATACCATAGCTCTGTGATGGACCAACTATCTCACATACCATAGCTCTGTGATGGACCAACTATCTCCCCTACCTTAGCTCTGTGATGGACCAACTATCTCACCAGTCACCTACCTTAGCTCTGTGAAGGACCAACTATTTAACATACCTTAGCCCTATGATGGACCAACTATTTAACATACCTTAGCCCTATAATAGACCAACTATTTAACATACCTTAGCTCTGTGAAGGACCAACTATCTCACCTACCTTAGCTCTGTGATGGACCAACTATTTAACATACCTTAGCCCTATGATGGACCAACTATTTAACATACCTTAGCCCTATAATGGACCAACTATTTAACATACCTTAGCCCTGTGATGGACCTATTTAACATACCTTAGCCCTATGATGGACCAACTATTTAACATACCTTAGCCCTATGATGGACCAACTATCTCACCTACCTTAGCTCTGTGATGGACCAACTATCTCACCTACCTTAGCTCTGTGATGGACCATGCTGTTGACCAGAACCAGCGCATCAGTGTTGTGTCTGGTGCTAACTCCCAACTGTCCGTCCTTGTTCTGGCCGAATGTGTATATCTGGCCGGTATCTACCACAACTGCTGAGTGGTTTGGTCCTAGTGATACTTCTACACACCGCTTGTTACCAATCAGTTTCACTGCTGTGGGTACTGCAACACTGCTTACTTCAGTCTCTTCGCTCTGAGAGGGGGAGAGAGTCTTAACATGGATATCACTTCAGTATAATACATCATGTAGATTAGGACAACATGAACATGAGATTTCAAAATAAGCAATCAGCAGAAAATGGCAGATCTTACGATTACTGAATATCAGTATTGAACTTAACGTACGTTGTTGTAAAAGATAGCTTTCATGGTGAGAAGGAATCCTTTTCTTTTGTTCAGTCCCAACTTGTTGTATCGGTTACTGAAATAGTGGTGGTTTCAGCAATGAACACAGATTTTAATACCTCAACGCCACTGTGTGTAAGCAATATGATAGGATGACGATAGCTCTACTTTGATGTTTTGATAAACTAAGATGTTATCCTCCTCGTACTTATCCACACTGACTAAGAGAGTAAATGTATAAAGTTGAATTAATGAACGAGTGAAGCACCACCATGTAAGGTATGTTAAATACTTGGTACATTACATTCCGAGTGTACTATATTTATATAATACTTATATAATGTGAGCTGAGAGTGTATCTGTTTTCTAATGTTAGCACAGTTCCAGTTAATTTCATGCTTGTTAACCACCCAGGGACATTGCTAACTTCATTTCTAACCAATTTTCAGATTTACGAACAGTGCCCACGTGACCAGTCTATGTGCCCACGTGACCGGTTACAGTGCCCACGTGACCAGTCAATGTGCCCACGTGACCAGTCAATGTGCCCACGTGACCGGTTACAGTGCCCACGTGACCGGTTACGGTGCCCACGTGACCGGTTACAGTGCCCACGTGACCGGTTACAGTGCCCACGTGACCGGTTAATGGATAAGATCACACCGGACCATTACCTCTCCTAATGTTCTCTCCGTATAATAGTACAAGCTGTCGTTACTTCAAGGTTCATTATACAATAAGTAGTAACCAGTACAGCTTTAACGATAAATAACGCATTAGATCATGTTAAAGTTCTACCTCATTTAACAGCTGGTAATATAATCGAGTAAGTATTAAAACTTTCATCTACATTTCCGGACTATCTGCTCACAGAGCCACCTGTAGGGAAGTAAGTTAATAAGTTGTAATACAGTGTTGGTACGTCACAGTGTTAAATATATAATATAGCATAACCAGATTAAGTACAGTGAATTCCATCACGTTAGTAATATTTGTGTTATTAAAGGGGTCCGCACAAGGAGCATTATGAACATATAGTGAATACTCATTAGATATGCTAGCTCTCATTTTACCATGTGCATTTTGAGGCTCTTTTTTATAGACTCTCCTCGAATTACAGTCAAATTATAAGTGGGTTTTCGTATCATATTAAAATTTAAATGAGGTTGTTGACCATTTGAGATAACGTGGTTAGAATTTAAAAACCGGAGCAATTGATATCAGAAACAGTCGCTGAAATATAAAGGTAAAGGAATGGAAAGAATGTACCTAGCAGCAATAATACCGCTGTCAGCCAACAAATTACTACGGATACCATTAATTAAAGTATTGATGACAAACGGTTACCATGCGTGTTACTATGCACCTTCCCATTTCACATTCCATTCCCATGTTTACAGCTCAACAAACTAACATGTTAACCAACTGTTGTCACAGGAAAGGAGCCATATTTGCATATTATTACGTGCACTGCACGTTGGAATAAAAATTATCGTTAATTTTTTCCAATTATGTCATAAATATAAATATAATCGAATCGTGTCATAAATATTATGATGATAATTAAAGATTAAAATAAGCCGCTCATCGAATCATGTTAACAGCCAAAAGAATGTTCTTTTTGACAACGATTAGAAGAATTTCATCAAAATCGACTCCCTCCCCCTCCCTTCTTTTTACTGCATTAGAAAATACCGATGACAGCTAAAGTTGTGACCAATTTGAGATAAAACACGAACTCGCCATTTAACTTTAAGAAGACGTAATTATACCAAAACATGACGCATTTGTATTTGTATTTGCGCGTTGCTAAGTCGCTAAGCGCGACGGTAGTTGCAGTGCAGTAGTAGTCACAAGGAATCATGCATTACGCACATTACAATGCCTTCACTTCACATTCCATTGCTCTTTTCACAAATTTTAGAATTTACACAATATACTGAAAATATTGAAACAATATTATCGACTTTATGATGATTGATGGTGTATAGATGATTAAGCGATCAATTATGCCGATTTATTAGTGAGGCCACTCCACTAATAAATCGGCAGAGAGTTTTTGTTTTACTTCAGATTATTAAGAGGGCCACTCAGGCTGCCTTTGCTCCCTCCCCGTCACACATGATGACAGGTGAACAGTCATCAATGCTTCAGAAGAAGCTAGTTTCATGCTCAGGAGCAAAGGACATCCTCATCATCGTGACTGAATCGGTTGTCTTTTGTAGAAGACTAAGGTGGGACACATACTGTAGAAATGATCCTAACGAGTATGGTCTTAACATTCGATAGGAAATTGAAGGGCTATATAAAGTGTGTAAAATATATCCCTTTGTTTGAGATTGAACAGGAATTTAACAGTAAAAAATCTTCAATTTTATTCAATTGATCGGCAGATGTTTTTAAAACTGCATTTCAATTTATCAAAATCATTTGCGGTAGATAGTTCATCACTATTCACGGAAATGAGCTAGAATTTTCCGAACTTGTGTGCATATAATTCATATATTATGTACATATTGTAACAGATAATCATGCAAAGAACACTTTAACTATAAACAAATATAAAAATTATAAACTGTCTCAACATTACAGTGAAATCAGTCTTTCCAGGGAAAAAGTTCATAATTTTGGAGGTCATATTATTTTGCACAATATTTAACACTAAAAGCATACTATAAAGCTATAATACTCTAATAATTGGTACTAGGTACTAGGTCGGTCTGTGCTATGGTGATGAAAGGGTGATGAAATTTCCAACGAAGGGGATGTAATTATTTGAGGTATCATTACAACATATAAGAATTTTCGAGTCCCGTTGTCACAGGGAAGGTGCTACTCTCAAAAAAAACTTAGGTCACAAAATAATTTGTTTTAATGACCGTATCTTTGTTCAAATTACACTAATATTCACAATAAAAAGTATGACCATTTTCTCAAATTAAGATGAAAGTTAACAAATTTATTCTGGTTCTCACAAGGGCGCAATAAAAGCTGAGGTGGTTGCTATTTTGAAGTTGAACCACCAAAATTTAAATAACAAAGAAGCAAACGTACTTACTTACTTACTAGTACTTGCAACGCAAATAAAATCGGACACAAAGTGTTCATTGCCCAATGATGATACTATCATTGAACATCGGACAACCATCGTGATGCTCTCGTGGTTTCACCATTACAGTTCACCAAAATTAAAATGGGCAGTGCACGTTTGTCACGTCACGTGGCGATAAACTTGAATAAGTAATTTCAGTCTTGTATTTCAGTGCTTGATATTGGTTGTGTTGGATGGTTGTCACGCTTTCCCTTGCAGTTTGAACTGCCGAAGTGAACACCGAAATGTGAATGTTGCTAATTTCGGTTAAGTACCAGATCCCTCTCGCTGGTTCATCACTCGGTGACCACGTGACCACGTGACCACGTGACCACGTGACTGCCAAACTAGACTAAACAACAAATAACTTGCACCTCAGGTATGTTTGGCTTAAATTACGCAATGAGAGAAGAGGTTAAAATTATTCTTCTACTCTTCGCCAGCATCATAGTCACTATCCAACCAACTGGGATAACAACCCAACTAGAAGACATAGATAACATGCTGACAATTGCAGAATGCAGATTCAATTAAAGATTTTTCTGAAGACCTGGGTACGTGTTACGAACAGACCCTAATGTTCTTGCAAATACAAAGGTTTCAGAACCTAGAGATGACAGACGACCGTCATGGACCACAGGGGGACGATCTTGTTTGTGAGTTTAATTTCAATTTAAAGACAGATTTAAGACCCAAGGACGATTTAACAATTGCTGGTTTTAGTTTTGAAAACGTCACTTGGTTTTGCAACCTTGCCAACCCTTCCCAAATCTGTGATGGTGTTTCACAATGCCAAACCGACGAATGTAATTGTCATGATCCCCACTCACATGTTTTCTACTGTGCTGATGGATCAGGCTGCATCGCATGGGATAGTCTCTGTAACGAGATTCAGTAATGACGGTTCTGATGAGCGTTTGTGTTCCGAATTCGTTGTCTTTCCCCTCCAAGGAACCGCTAGCAAGATCTGCGTATCAGAAGATAGGTATTGCGCGATCAAAAATTCGGATTCATTCAAGAAATGTAGCGAAATCGGACTTCGTTCTGAACATTTAAACCCTCTTCATTCATGTTTAAAGGAAGCTTATTTTGCTGGCAGATTACCACATTCTAAAAGTTTTGCAGAATACTGTAAAGTTAATTGCAGCCACGTGTACGGATTTGAAGACGGCTGGGAGAGGTTCTGTATCCATATCGGGATGGGATATCCACTACCGTATGAGTTTCACTGTGACCTTAAGGATTTCTCAGAGAATCTATACCTAGGCTATATCTGTGATGGAGAGATTCATTGTGAAAACCAAGCGGACGAGATGGGGTGTCCATGGGGTATTGCAATCCTAATGAGACAGCTGAGTGGGTTGGTAACGTGAAGGATTGTCTTAAAGGAGCTGATGAATGTGGAATTTGCCAGTTCGAAGAGCTGTCTTCCTCTGCATTCCTTATCAAATCTAAATTTGTCTGCTCTGCAACAATAATCATGGGCATCCTCATCATCTCCTTGAATATTAAAGAAGGCTACAAATGCTGGAATATGACCTGTAGCTCGAAGGTCTATGAAATTGACAAAGTGTTTCTTATCCAAATTTTCTTTCATGATACCCTCACTGGAGTGTATTTGTGTTGCATAGTGGTTGCCGCAGTTTTCCTCCAGTATAAAGGCGACTATTGCCAACTGGAAGAAATATGGAGAGCCAGTCTGTTCTGTTCTTTTCTGGGAGTCCTCTTTTCCTACTCGTCTCATGGCTCACTTATGCTGATAGCGTTAATGAGTATCACCAGGTTCCTGTCATGCTACAAAATAGTGGTTGGGATTAAAATGAGGGCAATCATCATAGGGTCCATCTTCATAAATATCTTCAATCTACTTCACTCAGCTCTCCCTTTGGTGCCAGTCACAGCGATTAAAGACATTTTTAGAACGGAAATATTCTTCACGCACTTAGGTAAAAATCCTTTCTTTAGCACAAATCCAATCAACAAGT